CAAAAACGCATGATCGCACGGGCCCGTCCGGTGCGTTCCAGCCTGGGTTTAAAAGTAACCTAGTTGTTCAGTGACAAATTTTTCCCCCAAAACTTTTGAGTACTCACACGTAAGAATCACACATGCCTCAAGGCTGAAGTTGAAGTACTTAAGTTGTACTTGGACAGGGAGCATTCACCTAAAATTTCAATATTCTAGCTTTTCTGATTCCTGAGTCAGTAATTTTCTCGCAAAAACTTTCACATACCCGTACACAGGCATTCCAAATACTGAATTTGAAATTTTTAAGCTGCATGTGGACAAGAGGCATCTTCTTTAAATTTCAGCTTTGCAGCTTTTCTGGTTGCCAATTTAACAATTTTCCAGCCAAATCTTTCGCGTGCTCTTACATAAGAACCAAGCATACCTGAGGGCAGGATTTGAAACATTTAATTTGTATTTGAACACCGAAATTTCAGTTTTCTAGCTTTCCTGGTTCCCGAGTTAACAATTTTCCCGCCAAAACTTTCATACGCCCTTACGTAAGTACTACGTATACCTGCGGGCTGAATTTGAAAACTTGAGTTTACACATGCGCAAGGGATATCCCTGCAATGTTTCAGCCCCTTATCTTGTCTGGTTCCCGAGATGGCTTTCTCGCCAAAAAATTTGTATATTTCTTTAAGGCTCCAGTACTCGACACCCAGGCGTATTTAAAACGGGAGGGAGTCGCGTATGACACATACTCCCATAGTTTCAGCCTTCTAGCTTTCCTGTTTCTTCAGTTGAAAGTGGGTGACAAAAAGTGCGAACAAACAGACATACATAAAACTTCTTCGCAACATGCGTTTTTGCATATATGCAAATTGCAAAAACGCGTATTAGGAAGAGGCTGTGTGTGTGTGTGTGTGTGTGTGTGTGTGTGTGGGCATGTGCGCGCGTGTGTCTGTGTGTTCGCATTTCTTGTCACTCACTTTCAACTCGAGAACCAGAAGAGCTAGAAGGCTGAAACTTTGGGGATATGTGCCTATACCGGCGCGGCCCTTCCGTTATAATTTCATCCCCCGTGGACGCCTGGGTGCCGTGTACTTTAAAAATATGCAAATCTTTTGGCGGGAAAGCGATCTCGGGAACTATATGACCTAAGGGGCTGAAACTTTGTAGGGGTATTTCCTGTGCATGTAATAGCTAAAGATTTCGTATTCACTCTTCAAGCAAGCATGGTACTCACGTAAGGGCGTATTAAAGTTTTAGGGGGAAAATTGCTAACTCAGGTACCAGAAAAGCTAGAAAGATGAAATTTTGAAAGAATGTTTCCTATCGAAGTACGACCCAAATATTTTAAATTCAGCCCCCAGCTATGCATGGTACTCATGTAAGGGCGTATGCAAGTTTCTGCAGGAAAATTACTAACTCGGCAACCAGGAAAGCTGGAAGGCTAAAATTTTAAGGTGGTGTTCCCTGTCCACGCGCAGTCCAAAAATTTCAAATTCAGCTTCCCAGGTAAGTAGGGTATCCAAGTGCGGACATGTAAAATTTTTGGGAGGGGAGGGGGGGAGGGAAATTGCTAGCTCGGTATCCAGAAAAGCTGGAAGGCTGAAATTTTGGGAAAATATTCCCTCTCCATGTACAACTCAAATATTTCAAATTCAGCCTCAAGCTCTGCTTGGTACTTACGTAAGGACTTATGAAAGTTCCTGCGGAAAAATTACTAACTCGGCAACTAGAAAAATTGGAAAGCTGAAACTTTAGGGGGGATGCACCCTGTTCAAGTACAACTTAAGTATTTCAAATTCAGCCTTGTAGTACGCGTGGTTCTTACGTACGGGCACTTAAAATTTTGGACTTGAGTATTTCAAATTCAGCCTTGAGATACACGTGGTTCTTATGTACGGGCACTTAAAATTTTGATATATCTGACTGAGCAACTAGGTTACTTTTAAAGAACGATCGTTAAATGGAAATTGTACATCTGCTTTATGCAAAACTCATGGTGATTTATGCTAGTGATCGCAAAAGGTAGGTGTAAAGCAACAGCCATTCATACATTTAATGACCTGAGTAATTCGAGTCCGGTACAAAAAAGCATGATCGCGCGGGCCCACCCAGTGCTCCCCAACCTGGGTTGCATATATGCAAATTGTAACCCAGGCTGGAACGCGCCGGACGGGCCCGTGCGATTATGCGTTTTTGCACCGGACTTGAAGTACTCAGGTCATTAACTACATGAATGGTTGTTGCTCTGCACTTAACCTTTTGCGACCACTAGCACAAATCACCATAAATTTTGCATAAAGTAGATGTACATTTTCCACTTAACGATCGTTCTTTAAAAGTGACCTATTTCCTCAGTCAGACATTTAGCCAAAATTTTAAGTGTCCGTACGTAAGAACCACGCGTAACTCAAAGCTGAATTTGAAATACTTAAGTTGTACTTGGACAGGGTACATTCCCTATAAGTTTGAGCCTTCCATCTTTTCTAGTTGCT